CCCCCAACCGAAGAGCATTGGCCTCTAAACTAAGAGCGATAGTCTCCAACCCAAAGAGACCGATGACCTCAAACCCAAGTGCAATGGCCTCCAGCCTAGGGCCTTGAGAATCTCTGAGATCTTCAGTGATTGACCTGACATCTTCAGGTCGCGGAAGACAGTGCAGCAATGTCCAGCTGGACCTTTGCGAAAGCTGCTTTCCGATATGCTAGCGAAGTCCGAGGACAAAGTGTCACTGAAGGTAGGAAGGTAAATATAAACAGGAAGGGAATGCAAGAAGTTGGGAATGCAAGAAGTTGGCGCATTGACGTGCACAGGGTTTTGCAAAAAACAACTTCGATCAGCTCTGAATAGCTAAGTACGACACCTGCCGCTTCTGGTCGGTGTTCTTTGAGAGAATACGCTTGAAGATGCTGTAAAAAACCGAGTTAAAACTATTTCCAAAAAACTGGACATGTATGGGGTGACGTTCCTTGTTGGCATGCAGTAGCCTTCACAATAGCCTTAGTACTTGCGCAGTTGCATCGAAAATTGGTCGAATAGGTTTCAGTCCAAGAGATGAAGCCCCAGGACACACCATCAGAACCATTATCTCAAATCGATCGAGCGAGACGATGGGCAGCATCTTTGGTGTCCTCGCCCCGATTCGACTACATTGCAGGATTTGTTATCCTTCTGATGCTTTGCAGCGTCTTTGAATACGTGTTTGCCTTTAAGCACGAAGCCACCTTTTTTGTCTGTCATGTGCAATGTCATCGTGTATTGCGATGTCTTGGCTGTTTAGGAATTTGGTGACCATTGGCTTCGAAGCCGAACTGTCCCTGGAAGGCTCTGAGTATGAGTCAGGTTTTTGGTTTGCTGGAGTTGAGCGAATGTTTCTGAGTATTTACATCGCAGAAGCTGCATTTCGCTTGTTTGCTCTTGGCCTACCTTTGCTGTACGACCGATGGTTTATTTTGGATCTTGTTTTGATTTGCACCGGCGCTGTGGCGCTATTGATTATACCTTTGGCCTCCGAAGAACTGGCGGGCTTTGAGAAGGTGCTTGTGGCCCGCGGCTTGCGTCTCTTACGATTGCTACGCGTCCTTCGGATGGTCCACCAGTTCAAGATCATTTGGCGTTTGGTCTACGGCTTTCTCACAGCGTGGGAGACTATTTTTGCATCAGCTTTGCTGATCATCATCTCCCTCTTCATTTTCGCGTGTATCGCAGTTGAGGCCATGGATCAACATTGTGAATATTGAAGGTATAGCAATTGGGGTAGACCACTAATTACTAGCTTGTCAAGGAAGGCTGATGTGCCTTTTTCACTCTCGAGAAACAAATGCCTTTCGGTACAGTTCGGTGTTAGCACCGTGCGGAACAGACTCCCCCTCTGTCTTTCGACAGACCTTGGTTGGGAAAAGTAGGCTCAAGGCATTCAAAGCTTCTTCAGGCCTTTGGCCCGGTAGTATTCGGCCCGCATCTTTTCGGCCGTCCATCCTCTTCCAGCATGTTCGTGCTGGAATCTATTCCACGGATTCGTGGGGATTGGTTCACTTTCTGACTTCCTTGGTGGGACGAAGAGGATTGGCCCACCTTGTTCACTTGGTGACTTTGTGCCACCTCTTGACGCAGCCATGCCGATGCCGCGATCGCTTGTCCTGCGACCTTCCCAGCCACCAAAGCTTGTTCGGCCGCCTGCTCAGCCGCTTGTGCTGCTATCTCGGCATTCTCCGCGGCCTTCTCGGCACCATCAGCAGCGGCGCAGGCCGCCAAAAGAATCCGCTCATCAGGCCCATCCAGCCGTGAGCTTGAGCTCTCTTGACTGCTCTTTCTGCCCATCGATCGTGCCGTAGAGCTCCTCAATCTCGCCATCGTCTTTTCCTTTTTGGCCTGAGAGGTCTCGCAGACCTGATCACGGGCCGACATGGCTTCTTCTTCACTGATGTTCTCGGCTTCATCTTCCGTGGTGGAGCTACTGCTCCAGCTGCCATCATTCTTGTAGTAGAGCTCTTCGAACTTGGTCGCCTCGATCGCAGAGAGGTGGTCAGGTTTCTTTCATCAGCTCTGGCTCATCTCCAAGGCTGTGAAGCTCGCTGGGCAGCACATGCAGTCGACGAAGACAGCAATGCACTGATGTACAGGCCAGCTTCGCCACCCAGATTGCCCCAATCACTACCAGCACTAGGCCGCACAACCACAGATGTCCAAAGGCCGCATCTGCCTCCTGATCCCCTTGCGCTTCAGCGGCTCTCACCAGCAGACCACCCGCCAGCAGCGCGCGAAGAGCAACTTGATGGTCTTGTGCTTGGAGTGGCTGACTGCCACCAACCATCTTCTTCACTTGGGCACCACTCTTCAAACCCAAGTCTCGTTGGAAGCCTTCAAAGCTCTGCCCCATCAACGGCTTGGTCATACCATCCGCCACCAACTCTGTACCCTTGAGGTGGCTCAACTTCCAAGGGCCGCCAGGAAATGAGCTCTGTTCTTCGAGTGCCTCGCGAAGGATATTTGAGCGGACGCTCAATGTCTCGTCCGCCATGATGTGTTGCTGTTTCCATGAGCCAGGCCAATCGCTGCAGCATTGTCCCCATAGATCACTCTTTTGAAGGAGTTGGCTGTCAGCTGCTCCCCCCCACATCGCACACAGCAAAGCCTCGGTGGCTCGACCTGCAATCAAAGCTTCACAATACGAAACCAGCTCAGCTTCCGCCGTACTGTGGCATACGAAAGGCTGAGTGGAGCTCTGCCAAGCGATCGGTGCCCCAGCGAAGCGCAACACCAAGCCCTGGACGCTTTTGTAGCCAGTGCCCGTGCCATACGCGATGCCCGCGAAGACTCCAGCAAACGTTCATGCCGCCGGACTTTCAACTGGTCTCTTGCGCCCCCCTTGGTGCTTGATGTGCTTAGAATAGTGGAGGTCACCTGGATTGCCTTTGACGTAGGCCAAAAGCCCATGCCCGATCTCAATCGCTTTGGCAGGATTTCGGGTGACCAAACGGCTGATAGCCGCAACACCAAATGCCAGGTCCGGCCTTGAACATGTCGATTGCCACAGAAGAGAGCCGGCAAGGGCCTGCGCTTCACGGACCTGATTCCGGTCCACGTTGGACTGCTGCTCACTGTCACCTTCATTGACCTTGCAGTTGGGGAAAGCAGCAGAGATGTTGACATTCCACCTTGACAGGATTTCCTGCTCGTACTTGTTCTGAGCAATGTGGTACCCATCACCTGTGGCGTCCGGGTTGGTTTCAACACCACAGAAGTGAACCGGAGCATCGCTGGAAGCCCATTCAATGCTGGATGTGGCCCACGTTGCACGCAGTGACTCTAAAGCAGCTGAGATGCTCCCCTCTTCACCTGCCAGCAAAATGTCATCAACGTACACCGACATGAGCCCAGACCAGGAGCTTTCGCCGGAGATCGAGTCCACCTCCTCCAACCGCCACAAATTCTCATCGGCTGTTTTGTTGAAACCCCCCCGGACTTCACGGTCGCCTTTGAGTCTGGTCCATGACATTTGAGGCAGCTTCGTGTCTCGATACTGCGACCAGTCTCTTGGTGATGTGGTCCGGCCGTACATGGCTAGTTTCACCAACCAAACTTCTCCTTCCTTGGCCAAACCCAAGCGACGATAGACGGCCGGGATCTCCATTGCGACCAACGTGCCATCTTCACGACGAGGGGCATTCAGGAAAGCAACACGAATGTCGGTGGCAGCCATACTCCAGCCTTTGAGGGCTGCAGTCCTCACCAGGGCCCTCAGCGCCGCCGGCGTAGCAATCCACATCGAAGCGGGTCTCAGAGTAGAGTTGCCACAGCATGCAGCACGAGCTCTGCGGGCACCGGCTCCAGCTTTCCTGGTGTATACCATCTTTGCCGGCAGCAGCTCTATAGTTTTGCCTTCCTTGCAGATCTGCTCAACGGCCTGCTTTGTTGTCACCAGCTGCGTGTGCTCTGCAGTGATGGCCGGAGTCCAATTCTCAAAATCCTCCAAGACCTTGGCACTCACGGTCTTTGCGACCAGAAACTCCTCTTTGAGCTCCTTCTGCTCTTGCGTTTGATTGCAGTGATCATGCTGAAGGAGATTTTCTTCGGCCGCAATCTTGTTCATGATGGCGTTCGTGAGCACGTCCATATAGTGGCTCTGCTCCTCCTTCGTCCTCCTCCGATCAGCTTGAGATCTCGGCACCCTGGGAACCCCCTTCACTTCATGATTGCCGCTCCGGTGTCTCAATGGTCCAACTGTCGCTGCTCACTTCGGGCTTGAAGAGGTTGGGATCGTTGGGATTGAAGGCATCAGAAACATCTCGGTGCCGACAAAGCCAAGTTTGACACCAAGCATCCTCCCCTTCCATGTGCAACATGGACACTTGGGGTATTGCGGTTTTCTCCGTGACCCGCCTTCGAGGGATGCCATCTTGCCACGCAGGGCGTTGCGGTGAGTCAGAGAGTGCAGGGAGATGGACCATCATGTCACCAGCTTCAGGTTGATCTGCGCTAGGGACCACCACATCATCAGTGTAGAAGAACTTGTTGGCCTCCAGTGGCTGAACAGTCATGGATGACTGTGATGCTGGCCCCAAGACCCTCACTTCGTCTCTGATTTCTCTCCATGACTGATAGCGATCCTGCCATGACTTCTTCAGGGCATAGGCGCGATGTCGGCTGCGAAGGCGACGTTCCCCGATGTGAAGGGCTGCCAACGGCCACATTGCCATATCAAGGGCGGCAGTGGTGATCACGGTGCGAACATGTTTTTTCACGACTCCCAGTTCACCCTCCACCCTGCCATTGGACTTGTAGCTGTCATCGGATGTGGGATCCAAAGTCCACCGCCGCACCTGCGCCGAGATCAGCTCCCTGGCCCTATCGCAATGAATGCGATACAAGGGCAACCCCGAACATCTCAACTTGGCATATATTCGTGCCAAAGCCGGCAAGATGTGGTGAACAGCACGACCCGGCAGGACCTCCACGAACGTGAGGTTACGGACCATGACATTTTGTGCCTCCTCCACTGTCTTTTGCCAGGCCTCAAAAGATTCGCGCCCTTTGCGCGCTGCCCCATCATCCTTCCCCGGAGCCTCATGGGGTTCTTCAGCCAGGATCGACTTCATCACCAGGATCATCCCCTTCGGGTTCAGTAGGGGTGTGTTCCTCCATGTCGATGGAAGGTGCCTCATGGACCTCGGCCTCCCCCGATCCGGAAGAAGCAGAATCGCCGAGGTTCACCTCAGCCAACCCCCGACAAGACCGGTCGACTGGGAATGTGTAGACTGCAACCATCATGTGCTTGCAGTCTTGTCGTTGTTGATCTTGGCCCACCACCATTTTGCCAGAAAGATCGACGCTCAAAGTAAATGCAATGTTTACAATCGCGTCGTGCAGGCATGTGGTCATTCAAGTAGTGCTGGCGCCATCTGTCCAGGCAACCTGACCCAACGGGCGAAGTGCTGCTTCCAGGGATGGTGTAGTTCCTCGATGCAGCCTATCCTTCAGAGCCAACGCCAAAGCGACCTATAGGCCTGGGGCCCATGCTGCCCATTGTTTGGAATCATCACACCTTTCTCCCATGGTCATGGTAGTGCGATCTTGACCAGCTCCATCTGGGTTGACACCGCTGGGAGGTCCGCGAAAACCGTTCAGCACCTGAATGTCACGAAGCGCCACAGCCAGTGTCGTAGGTTTCTTTTTTCACATGACCCATTGGCCCTTGATCGAAGTGGAGCATCTTGACCTTATAGGCCTCAGCAAAGTCCTGCCATTCTCTGGTGCGCCAGATGGACATGAACTGTTAGGCCGGTATCGGATCGGATCTTCCGGCTGCTCAACAGCCAAGCCAGTCTGAGGTTCAGCAGGGAGCCGAACATTTTCACACAGCGCGTGCAGTGCCAGCATCCTGAACAACAATATGCTGTCACCCACCACCAACTCCAAATCCGACTGAGTCAAAGAAGGCAGACCGTATGGATGTTGCTCCGTCCTCAGAATGGCAGGACCACCCTGATTCTGATACCGCAATGCTGAGACCGTGCGGCAAGGTGGCCCAGCCTTGACACGGCCCGAAGCAGCCAAAGACAACAAATAGGCGAAGATGTGGTCATGGTGTAGGTCTGCTGCGACCTCTGCATGCAGATCAATGCACAACACCTTAACACCATCCTGCTGCAGTGCTTTCTCCCAGTACTCGGTGTCAGGGCCGGAAAACAAACGCAGAACAATTTGGTTTGCTTTTTCCACACGACGGTGTTTCCGCCTGTTCCAAAGAAGAAGGTGGCCATCGAAGCCTTGATGTAGTTGTGACAGGTCCGGCGCAATGCGCATCAAGATCTC